CTCAGCTCGCCTGGGTGCGCCGCGCCCACATCAAAGGCGGCCCAGCCAGCTCCCCAGCCTGCCACGGCCCCTCTACTGCCGCTTCCTCCTCCTCCTGGCGGCTCTGGGTTGAAGGGGAGGCTCTCAAGACTCTCGGCGACCGGACCAACAGCTCAGAAGTCAGAACCCTCGAGGCTGGAGCTGGTGAGCACTGGAAGCCGTCGGAGTTCCGCGCCCAGGCGCAGTGACCCGTGCCAGAGCGCAAACGGCTGAACTGGGCAGGCGGTGGTCTCCAAGAACACGGTTAGGTGCGGAGGGCGCGACTTCATTCGACCCACTTACGCCACTCACACACCCGCCAGCTTTTGAGTAGGGAGCCGCGAGAGGGCGGATCAGGCCCAGCGCCGTGACTCCACTGAAGCGGGGGTTACTTTTGCCGGTCCTGAGTCCACGCAAGATCGTGGAGCTTCCCAGCCACCCTCCTAGCGGGTTAACCCTGCTAAGTGAGTCCTCTGGCTCTTTCCCTCTGCTGCGGGAGGTGGGGTGGGCTCTGGGTCTCTCCCCACCCCCTCTCCGGAGCGCCAGGATAGGTTCTCGGGATCCCAGCTTTGGAAACACACGGGCACCACCTAGCGGCCTCAAGGTACTACTGCAACTCAGCCCAGGAGTGCCTGGGAGTAGCCAGGACTCTGGTCAGCGACCACTCCGCGATCTCTTCCTGCCTCCTTCCCAAAACCGGGATAAGTAGCGTGGTTCCTTTGATAGGACCCTTAACTAGACACTGGTTCTCACTGCATCCCGCCCGTCTTTCCTAACCCCACCTGAGTCTAGAACCCTTATCAATTAAGCCCTATTTTGGAATGCTAACAGGTGACAGTGGGAAATAGGAACAAGCGCAAAAAACCCAATCACGACTGTTAAGCCACGTGTCGCTGGCTGTGGTAGATACTACCATTTCGCTAAATGGATGCTACTGTAGGGTGTTACTTCCTAAGTCATGGACGTGCACTATTTGTTCTAAAGCTATTTTAAATTCCTTTTCAAAGTTGAGGCTACTGTAAACAACACGGTAGACAAGTGCAGAAAACCTTGGCAAAACTAGGTGCCAATAGGAAAATTATCTAAATTAACTATCGCTTCTCGGGCCTTTTGGCTAAATCTAGTGAATTTATTTTGACATTCTGATTGCCAGAACTGATCTTTCAAAACTACTTATCAACTAATTTCTGGAGCAAATGAGCTTACTTCTAAATCTGACAGAGCAATGGTTTTGGCTCGTATCGGAAATTCCAGGTACCTCCTGGCTATTTTAGATTTGTGCTATTACTTTTGAATAGAGTTGGTGTAACTATTGCTCTAAAATGCTCTGCCATCTTTTATCATTGTGCGAAGTGTATTTGTCAATTTCATCTATCATACAATTAAGATTGACCAGGTCAAGAAAAATCATTGTAAGAATCTCAGATCCTAGATATGAATGCCTCCAACATTTGCTTATATCCAGAAAGTGTTAAGACTGCTTCCTCATCTACATGATGTGGCTAACAGGAACTCAAGATCTGCAAAGTACCACTGAGATCAGGCTGACTGCAGGCTGCAAATGTTTTAGTTATCAATCATTAATGATCCCAGGTTTTAGGTTTACTGTTATTTTTCATGAAATAAGTAAAGTTGAAGCACTGAACTAGAATCTTTGGACTCATATTTAACCACTTCATTACATTTCTCACCCAACTAAACCCTCAAACGCAGTTTTACCAATATAATCTATTTACCTTGAAAGCATGAATCTTAATTCTTTCTGGACTTGGTATGTTCATAAGGCATTATCATTCAATTACTAATGGTGAAATCCTGGTGCCAGGCCTTGGGAGAACAACCACTCTGCTTCAGTTAGGTATGCCAGGCAACAGACAAGCCAAGAAAAATGCTAGTTTGTACCAGAGTTCAGAAAGAAACCAATGGGATGCGTTCAAGACTATGATACTAGGCTTGACCAAGCCTTGTAGGTAGTCCTCATTAAGAAGTAAACATCATTTTTAAGGTGTTACATATAATTTTAATACATTTAAATGTACAGTACAGAACTTTTGACAAATGTATCCGTGTAAACATCTTCTTTCAGGTAACCTACCCCCAATAGCTGGTTCTGAGCAGATCAGATCCTCCCAATTTCACACAGTACCACATACGAGGCCCTCCTCTGCTGCTGCTTGTGACTCAAGACTCCATTGTCAGCTGTAACCAGTCCTTACTACTTAATAGGAAGGACATACAGAAACACTTGACAATTTACCAAAGGCTTTAAAACTAAGTTTTAACCGTTTCTCTAGCTAACTATGAAACGTAGGGCAGGGGATTTAGCTCAGTGATTCAGGCTCCTGTGTCACAAGCAAAGACTCTAATTTGATTCCAGGTACCAAAAAAACAAAAACAAAAAAACCCAGCAAACTTGCTTTTCATCTCTCCCCAGTCTGAGACTATGATAATTCAATGAGTCTGCAGAACAAATACCGTGGCAACAAAAATGGAGAACAGAACACCCAGCCCAAGAACCTAGGACAAACAGCTTCAAGCAGCAGTCTTAACAGAAGTACTCTGAAAGAAAAATAGACCCTTAGCACAGATGAGACTTTCTCAAAAACAGCACTTGGAAGAGAACATGATGGTTCGATTTGGTAGCACATACTTGTAATCTCAGCAACTCAAGAGGCTGAGAGACAGGATCAAGGCCAACCTGGAAAAAAAACCTTGTCTCAAAAATGAAAATGGAGTTATGAAAGTGTAGACAGCTCAGCACTCACTGGGTTTGATCCCTAATACCAAAATAAATACATTTTGGGGTGTGAGGCTTAAATTTGTCCAGGTAAAACGTCACGTGTTATTGCAAGTCTGTATTTTAGAAATACAAGATTAAAGGTAACAAATTTGAAGCTACTTACAGGCAGTTCTTTAGTAAAGAATTATTTGCTTCCTGGCTCAGCAAAGTCAGAACCAGGTAGTAGCTTCTCCGAGTGTGGGGATACTGCTATAGACCTCATACTGTACTGGTCATTTGCATAATCCTGCTTATATCCTGATATGCTAATTTATTTAGCTTGTACTCCAGCAAAACTGAACTGAGACTTCTCAACGCAGGATTTATCCTTATATTCAAAGGACCTGATTATGAAGAAAAGCTTCTGACTTTAGTCAGCCAACCAATGTAGCAATGCCTTTTGTGCTTTTAAATCTTTTCCCTTGCTTTTCCAAAGGGTCTAATAAAATCATAGCCTGCTAACCTGGAACACAGTAGTAAGCAATGCTCCCAAATGTGGTCTATAAATACCACTCTTTAAAAAGGAGCTCCTTGGAGAAATAGTCTAAGAAAATGACCAAGTTTAAGCTAGAGCATCCTGTCTTGCTACAGAAAGCAAGCCAGGGATCAGACCAAGATTTGTTCACAGTGCAAGATGCCTGAAAAAGAATCAGTCAAAAACAATGTGTTAGCACCAAAAATTGATAGCAGATTGACTATACAACAAATTTCTCATTTGGAATAAATACACCAGTCCCTTTCAGAGGTTGAAATTAAATAAGCAAGCTGGTAGCTAAGGGGAGGGACTGTAGATAGAGATCAGCATCATCAGAATGGTACATGACAACCCAGAAGGCTGAGAGGCAAAAGGGTGGCTTAAAGACTCTCAGGCCAGCCTGGGCAACACAGTAAATTGTCTCCCCAAAAACCTTTCAAATCTAAATTATATAAGCATTTTTAAAAATGGAAGTACGTTCCAGCAAAGAATACAACATTTACCAACATCTCAAACCTGCATTGAAGCTATAAAAGAGAAGCAACTGAAGTTCTGCTGGTCAGGAAACCAAACTAATGACTAGGTAGATGCCTGATACATGGAAAATCAGGACACAACAACAGTACTATATCCAACTCTTTACTATCCCAGAGAGAAAAAGGGTTAACATATGCTGACCCTCATCAAAATAATTCTAACTGTAAAAACAGACAACAAATTCCACAATCCTAAATCAACTTTAGGAAAAGTCAAACAGGCTAACAGAAGAGAAGGGATTAAGTCAGATCACTTCAAATCACAATAATCCCCCATTTTTTATACCATCAATCTGACTATTTGACAATTTAAAAACAGAAATTTTAAAAAATATTTTCCTAAAATTTAAACAGAAAGAAATGGGAAATACCCAAAAGAGTCAAACAGAAAGCCTAAGAATAGATGTAAATAGGACACTGAACTCTCCCAAGAAAATGGCCCATAACTGGAGAACAGACCATCAGCCCTTCAGTCAGAATAAAAACTCACAAACTAGAATTCCAGAAAAGGTTACCCAGGAGAGCACACTAAAATAAACTATATACTTATAACAGGGGAAAAAAAATCCTGAGAAGGTTAGCACTGGTTCTGTAGCAAAAACAAAAAAAAAAAAAAAAAAAAAAAAAAAAAAAACATATGTATCTTATATATCTCAGAAACAGTTCTCTCATGTTTTTATACCAGGAGATATGTAAGCTGAATGTTTTCATGTAACGGACAAGTCTTCATACTACTTCTTGGGCAAATTGAGGACGTCACCAAAATCATTTTCTGTTCTTGTTCAGTTGAACGGTTGTTCCAGGTTGCTACAACATGCCAGATTTCCTCTGGATGGCAAGGTTAGGTAGATGAGCAATCTGTCTCTTGGAATACCTTGCATAAATATTGGTTACTATATGAGGTGGATATACAGGCACACTAAATCCCTATGAGGAAAACTGGTTAACCAGGGCTGGGAGTGTACTCAGTGGCAGAGCACTTGCCTAGCATGCATGAAGTCCTGGGTTCCATTCCTAGCACCATGAAAAATTTAAACTAGACCAAGGACATTTTTCATGAGATCTTAGAATACTATTTAACATTTTAAAGTATGTCATTTTTTTGACAAATTATAAATGTCAAATAAGTAAATAGAAACAGTATTACTTTTATTAAAATACTGAGTTTATTTCACAGGTATATTTTTGTCTCCCCACCATCTCCATGTCTGACCGCCACTACTACTATGTCCTATCAACATTCCATACATACTTAAAACCAAGCAAAGGGTGGAGCTCCATCTTTAAAAACTAAACAGGCATTTTGGACAACACATTCTTGGCAATGGAACCTGGACAACATTTATCAAACACGGTAGGGAAAGTTCTCACTTTGCATTATAAAAAGGATAGCCAGATATCAACTGTTACAGAAATGAAATAAGACGGAAAATTTTAACAAACTGTTTAAACTGTTTTCTTAAAGAGACTTCCTCCACTGCCAGAGATCTTGAATAGCCTGGGGCGGGGGGGGGGGG